TGGAATTAAACTTGCTTACCTTCGTTTGCTTATTGGTGAATAGAGCACTTTTATCCAATAGTTTTAATTTATTTTTAATTTATTTCAAGCACACACTAATACTCTTGTGACTGCTCTGTAAAGAGCTGTTAATGAACTGATCTCTACTGTAGAAAGTCATTTTCTAATAGAGAATATATTTCTGTGTGTGCAGCATAGAGGTATATTAATAGGTGCATTGTATACAGAGCTTTCTAAACATATCTGTTTTTTTATGTCTTCTGATTTCCTGCACCCCTGAGTGTTTTTGGTCCTTTATTCACTGTTACAATATTCTCATGTAGAGACTTCATAGGGTACAGAGAGACGGGTTTGGCCTTTTGAGGCTTAATTCCTTAATTTAAAAAAAGTAATCTATATTAGCAGGCATTCCTGACTATAGCTTTTATTTGCCTTAATACATGTAATTACTGATATTTGTAGGCATTGCTTTTTAGGCATCTCAGTCCATGGTAAACGGATTTAGGTAATTTTTTGTAATAGCTTTATGCAATCATAGAATATCCTGAGTTGGAAGGAAGCCACAAGGACTATGGAGTCCAGCTCCTGAGTCTACAGAGCACTACCCAAAAATCAGATCCTGTGTCTGAGAGCATTGTCCAAATGTTCCTTCACCTGCAGCAACTTGCAGTTACTGCTTTTTCATATGTCCATGAAGTCCACCTGAAAATCATTCAGTTAGTGCTACAAGATGCCTGACTCCAGCTGTGAGACGCATGTATGCTGACGTCTGTCAGCAAGCCTCTGTCCACCTTGTCAGATTCACACTATTTTAAAAAGCTGTTTCTGATCATTCCCATTCTGTTACATCATGGCATTCAAGTCCTTCTCACAAAGTAGTCTAAGGAACTTTGCGATTCTCCAGTATGATTTTCCCAAACAGACTGCAAATGCTCTTAACTGGCTTAAATAGTGATTGGTTCAGTCAGTGGTCAGGATGAGGATAAAAGGAGCATAGTTAGAGTTTCAGTATTGTCTCTTACTATTATTTGTTTTACAAGGAGGTACAACCTTTGGCTTCTTTGCTAAGAACCTGCTTTTTAATCTTCTAACAATTCCCCTCATGGGGCATTGGGTTTCCAGGTATGTTAAATAAACACAGGCTTTTATAGCCCTTAGAAATGTCATCTTCTAACAGTAGCAATTTCCTAATTTTCACTAAAGTAAAGCTGCCATTCAGTTATGGTAATGCAGCTTATTTAATGTACATTAAGAGTAGGCATAAGTATTTAAGTAAAGTGTTAGATTGCTAGTTTTATTTAGTCATAAATTACAAAATATTTCTGTCTGCTCTATGAAAACATTATTATAAACAAAGCAGGTGTTTTGGGGGTAAGGGAGGAGAACAGCCTTTGCAATAGTATTGAATATGTAATTATATACAGCCTAAAGATATTTGCTCCTTAAGGCATGTAAAGAATTTAGTACCTTAAAACAATTAAAAATTACTCTTATTTATAAAGTAAAAAATGGTCATGACTGAGGTCAGATGATGATTCTGTGAACTAAAGACCTCTTTGACGTGATAGAATCCAAATGCATTCTGATTTAGTTGAAGTGCCTGTTTCTTTGTGTTACAAAGTTTTGCTATGTTGTCCTACTTTCGTACAACATTTAATACACAGGATTAGTGTTTTTCCTCAGCTGTGATTGACTCTTATTTTTACAATTGCAAGTGTACTTTAAGTTTCTTTGGATTCCTCTATTTGTCTTGTTTTACAGCTTGCATGCCAGAAAATACATTTGAATTCATGCTTTATCAGTAACTGTTACTTCCAACACACTTTGCTGACCCTCAGTGACCATGACTTGTATAAAACCACTTTCTGAAAAAAATCTATGGATATTTATTCTTTGTACACAAGCACCACTCAGCCACGGCTAAGTAATGATTTTGATGAAGTGTTGGAGAATGGAGTAGTTTACTGCCCAAGGTTCTACTCGTTCTGATAAAGAACTTCAGTCTTCACAGATGGACAACATTTATGCACAGAGTTGAAATGCTTTGTTTACTGATAAGAGATGAATCCTGCAATAATTACTTTTATAAAGAAAGCAAATAAGCAAATGGAGAGCGTTCTTTTCATGAATTGGAAGAGAAAAAAAGACTGTAATAACAAAGCAGCAATAAAATCTCCTCTGATTTTTGTATACTATGTACAAGAGAAAGACACTGAGCTGGTAGATTGACAGGATGTATCAAAATATCAAAACACTTGACAGTACTTGATAAGAAAAGCCTATTGAGGACATTCATGTAACATCTATGCTTCATTAATGCTTGGGTTTATCCCAGCTGATGATAGCTAGTTCTGGTGATAGCTAGTCTTTGAGCACAGCAGTGGATGACTTGGTGTGCCATTGCATAGTTTCTAGACATTAAATCTCTGAATTTTCATCTGGTTTTGAAATTATGAAAAAATGTAGAGGAAGAGAGAAAAACCCACAATGATATGGAAGATTATTACCTAGTTGAGGTTTCTAATTTTGTATGATATAACTCTGTTACTGTGTTCTTAGTTCTTGTGTTTCTCACATTTCGGTTCAAGCAGAACATATGAAAGATAAATTTAAGCCACATTCTGACAATTTTGCAGGGTTGTGAGCTAAAACCAATGCATCCTTTCTACTGGGATGGGTACGAAGTTAGGACAGTGGTGAATAATACATTGACACTGTGTGACAGCGCAAGGTAATTGCTTACCTTCTCCCACACAATGTCCTGTTTCCCACAGTAAAAAGTGCCATTTTACAGAAACTTTAGTTTCTGCTCTTCCTATTGCAAGGCAGTCAAAAGTAATGGGAAAAAAATCCCTTAATTTCCTTTAACTTACACTAAATAGAGAAATAAATATGTTATTTGTATATGTGTGTATATATATATATATGTACACATTTACCACTATTTGCTCTTTTTACTGCATATCTTTTTTGGTTATTTTTACCATAACCAGGATTTTTAAGAACTGACATTAATTTTCATATATTCTAATATACAACTTGACATTATGAGCATTATTGATGCTGAATGTGATTGAATATGAACTCTGAACAAAGTATTTAATAGGATAAATACATCGATCCTTCCTACTATTCAAACAGCTGGGGAGAACAAACCCTTGTCTGCATTAAAAACTCTGGTTTTTAAAAGCTGGTGACAATAGGACTTCACAATTAGAAAATTATCCTTATTTTGTATGTTAAAGTACTACGCTCCAACAGAATACTGACTGTTTAATAATTTTGCATTTGCTGTAAAATTCATACCTAAATTTCTTTTGAGCAAAGAATATCCAATATAAATCTGAGGTTTTTCAGTGTAACTTGCTTTTCCCCCTAACATTTCCACTTTTGTGCAAAAACCAATTCTAAAGCATTCTGAAAACTTTTACAGTCTGGTATATTCAAAATAGAAAATTAGTTTGCAGAGCAAGAATGAATATGGTTAAATCAAAAAGAATAACCTGTAAGTCTGAACAGCACAATTTGCTTTTTGTGAATGTATTTACAAATTATAAAATGTGATCTTTTGCAATGCTCAAAGTTCAATTTGAAAAAAATATATAGTTTAAAAAGGTGAAAGACTTGACCAATTTGGTTTCAAAGCAAAGTGAAGGCAGAATTTAGAGCACTTAAAAATATATGCAAGTGTATTAGCCTGTTGCCAGTCAGGAAAAAACAAATTACAAACATGACATCTCTGTGCAGACAGGAGTTATTATTGATGTAAGTCTACTTAAATTGTCTGCAACTAAGTCATACAACGTGAAGAAAAGTGATTTCATGTGTTCAGTGCAGCTACTACACTAATAAAAGCTACATCCTTCTTTTGAAACATGAGAAAAAACAGTTGGAGCTAGCTAGCTCTATGAGAACTGCTGAATCACGACCTGAACCTCTTGTTGACCACCTGTGGTGAGCAATGAGTCAGGCCTGGGAGCACAGGTGAAGACAATTCTCCTGTGCTACCAGAAAGTGTGGAGCCTGTCTGCACCTCTCTTAGATCCCATTTAAGAGCTGACTACCACTGGGGTAGGAACTGTTTTGGAGATCGCTCCTCTCGGAGTCTTTTCAGTGAGCCCAGGACAAGGGTAAGGTTTCCATCAGTTCTTCTTTAGCGTGATAACCTGTTTAGCCTAACTTTCCTGTATATTTCTTAATTATAACATCTGTATATTGATATTCACTGATTACACAGTAGCTCATCTGGTAGTTACAATTATTCTAGTGTCAGTGAAGCCAGCAGAGCACTTAACAATTTATTGGGGTTGATTGACCAACCCCTAAGTACTTTTTCAGTGACTAAGATATTTACTTAGACAAAAGACCTTCACTTTTTCAAATCAGTGCAGCATTTCATATTACACTTCAAATAATTTTAGGACAGTATACTTCAATTTCTGTTTGGCCACATCTAAGATGTGTGTGCTTTTGATTCCCACCAGTGTACGTTATACCTGCAAAGGCATAAACAAAGGTGGCTTGAATTTGATTCAATGAGGCATATATTTCCTAATGATGTAATTAAAAAGGACTGTGGAGGTGGACGATAAACCAAATAAATGTGACAGCTTTTGTTGAGAGTGAGAAATAAAATCCATACTGCCTTTCAGTTCTGAATTTGCTGGCAATATTGTGCCTCTGGAAGAAGTTGTAGGAAGTCTGCTATGTGCAGGTCCAAAGAATCAGCTGACAAAACAGAACTTGTTCCCTAATCAGCTATCAAGGCTTTCTTGCACTTAGCTTGATGGGTAGCTGCATCTTTCCATCCATTCAGCTTTTGACCATGAAAACTTTCTGGCATCGGTGCTGTACTTCCAGATGTTGCTGCCCAGAAATTGCTTGTAATTAGATTGTAAACTACCTTGGTCACTCTCAACAACAACAACGAAAAAATAGTATAACTAATCAGCTGAAATACATAACCAATCCTTTCTATTTTGTTCCTTTTATTTCCCCCCCCCCCCATAAAAATTGCCTCAGATTAAAGGAAATTAAGATAAATTACAGAAAACCAGGATTCATCATTCATCTGATCTATGAAAATGTTACAACAATGCCATGGGGCTTCAAATCCCTTTCATGGAATTTTTTTAGCATTATTTTGGGGCCAATTTTGACTGCACATCAGTGTGGGTCCTTGCATTTCAGTGAAAGAATGCTAATTCATATGAGTTTTGAATGTGGTTTCTTTGAGTAATCCTCACTGCATTTAGGAGAAAATCTTCTATTATTGATATTTTATATCAATGTAAACATTCAATTATTTGTAACAGAACTACAAGAAATACAAATGTTTTCTTTGACCACTGAACGAAATAATTTAACAATAAATTCTATATTAGAATCACTGTAAGAAATCAAAATTTTGTTAGAACTCTGTGCAGTTTCAATCTTTTTTTATTTGTCCAGTGTTTGTTTCCAGGTGATATCCAGTATGAATGCTCAGTGTTTGAAAACTGAGAGCGCTTGTTTCCTTTGAAATTATTTTAACTCCAGAAGACCTTCAGTGATTTCTTTTAAGCACTGCTGTTCTTCAGTTGGTCTGATGATCATTTCGGAGGTGCATTGCAGTAGGTTCGAAAAACTGGAGGAAGATTTAAGAGAGAAGTTTAAGCTGTCATTTGTCAACAGTGTAAGTAACCAACAACATCACCTGACTTGTGGCTGTCTCAACAGGTTTAAAAAAGAACTACATTATAAGGGAGAATCTTCTCAGAATCTGATGCTCGTTAGCTGTATCATCAAAGCTTAACTGTACGTACATATAGTAATGACTGCTTCCTACTGAACGTCATTTTTCTAGTGTTCAAACTGAAGCATAAAGCACAATTTGCTCTGTATTAGATACTTCACAAGCTCTTGTTTGTCTGTCCTTCTTTCTTCCCACTTGACTGTTCATCACTGGTATTTCATCTTCAACCTGCTACATAACTCATTTTCTGCCATGATTCTGTGCTCTGTGTGTTCAGCTTTTGTCTGGGAATCAGCACATTTACCACATTCAATTCCATTTTACCTTCTGTCCCCAGTCATAAAAGCTGGCCTCTCTGCCTGTTTTTCTGCTGTTTATCATTAAAGCTTTAACATCATGAGCTGAACACAGACATCATTCTGTGTTTTATTACGTTAAAAACTTTAACATAGTATGATGAATATAAAACACTGGGACAGGTTACTTTAGGAAGGATACATGTAAGGAGATGCAAGAACAGTGCATGCATTATGAATGATGTGACAAACAGACCAAGACTTATAATTAAAAGGACATGCCTTACATTCTAATTCAGGTGCGTTTTAAAATTATTAAAATAGAGCAAGAGTGCAATTTGCCTGTCAAAATCACTGTTATAAACTAGTGTTCAGCTCTAAGACCAGTCAAGATTTAAGAAATAAATAGTAAAAAAGTGTATGTGTGACAAAATAAAAAGAATAGCTTCTTCCTTTATTGCTGGACTGTTTGGTTTTTTTTCTCCCTTCAGGAGCTTCGCTATTTGGATAATCGGGACAAACGTGTATTGCTTGTCCCTATGTAGAGCTTTCTCTGGATGGCAGATACAGAGAAACACATGCCATAGAAACATGTGTATTTCATTTTCCGTGGATGTCGCATCCTCAAACCTTTCATACAAATTAATTACAAACTGACCTTATGTAGTCAGGGAGTAGTAATTCCTCTTAGAGTAATTTTAATGCTTTAATTTTTCATATAATAAATGGGACAGCCCTGCTGCCATTATTAAACATCTGTCAATATTTCTGCACAGGAAACTTGTTTATTTTGGTGAACTGATTTGATATTTTTCTATTTGTTTTTTAAGCAGAAGCCAAATGAGCTCTAATTAGTGACTCAAAAAGAAAAAATTGCTAGTATACCTGAAATATTTCACAAAATACACTCTTCTCAAAGAGTCATATTTCATAACTGAGTAATACCTTATCAATACTAATCTTTTTGGCTTGAGATGGTGACTGGAGTTTGAGTGGCTTTTCAGAATGCCATGCTTCACTCACCTAACTTTTGTATCTCCTCTGTTTGAATAGAAAGGCTTTTTTTAAAAGTTGGTGGTTTTTTTTGTTTTTTTTTTTTTTTTTTCTTTAAGCAAAAACAATCTTGGTTTTCCATGAAAATAAGAACTGGTAAAAGGATAAAGTGCATCAAATTAAAAACTTACCAAGGTATATCATGATTATATTAGTTACAGCTGAGCACACTAACAGGAAAATGTAATTCATGAAGAACTTGAGCGATGGTTTACATAACTGTTTAATTCTTCACCACTTAAATCACCCTAGCTGTTAATACTGTTCTGTTCTCTAAATCTTGTTGCAGGATTTCTGTCATTCTATAAGAGTCATTGCATTTCTGAGCAGGTTAGTGAGCTTGTGAAAGTGGGACTTTAGAAGTATCTACATTCAGCTCTAGGTCTTAGTTCTCTGAGGTCTTTTAGAAGCCTAGTTCTGATATAACTATTAATATACAAGGTAAATATAAATATTTCATCGCTAACAAGGGAAAATGGCAACTATGTTCCTAGCATTTCTATATCCAAAATGTGAATGGTTGAAGGAAATCACTGAAGTTATGGAAGATACACAAGCTAAGAAGCTGGCCTCTAAACAGAAGCTGTGATGAATATATGAGAGCTTTATTATATTTTCCTTCTTTGATTGATATAAGTAATGTGCACACTTAGTCAATATTTTAATAGCAGGATCAGTATCTCTGGCACAAATGCTAAATTTAGCATTGGACAGATTTTGAGTGGCCAGGAGGTAGCAGCTGTGACCTCTTGAGAGAGACATCTGCAGGAACATTTGCAAGAGACAGTGCCTCCTATCTTCCTGCCCTTCTGATTTCACATAAGCTGCTTGGCAGCACAGTCCCTCTTAGAGAGATAGCATTTTCCAAATCATACTAGTAGCAAAAATCAGCAAAATTAGGGGCTAGTAGCCTCTGCTTCAAGTAGTGTCAAGATGCCATCCATTAGCTGATCAGCACCATCTTGTTACTTTGAACTGCAGTATCTTCTGGCTGTCCAAGAGATTTCCCTTGGCCTCTTTACCTCTAATTTAGGAAATGAATGTTAAACTTGCACACTGCTTATATCAGATTGCTAGCCCCTGTTATTATTGATATAGGGACTTTGTGCTTTCAGTACTGTCCGAACACCATCGTTATCTCTGTAGCTGTCCTAAATAAAGCTAAGTGTACCAATCATTTTGACTGCAGTGTACACTGAGATTCAAAAACTCTATGGCAACAAACAAAGCAAATGAATGTATGTTTTTCACCAAAGAGATGGGGCCCCATTAGTTGTGTTTAGACAAAAATGAAAAAATAAAGAATTAAAACTTTAAAGACTAGAAGTTTAATAACTGCTTGAAAGCACAAGCTAATCAGTGACCGTACCAGAAATGCTCAGTCTTCAGGATACACAACTTTTCTACACTTCACGGATATCTGAAGACTCAGTAATTCTCAGCTAGATTCAGATAAGCTTAAGCAAGGAATTTAGCAGCTTTATTGGCATAAAATGGTTCCATTATAAGGAGAAAGAGGAAAAATTGGTTTTAAAAAGTGTAAAAACAAGGACTCTGAGTTCACAAATTGCATGTTGCAACTGTCTTAATATCTTAGCAGATATTAATGTTTTCCTTTTGATATTAATCTCTTGCTGCATTGTTGCAACAGTTAATTTTACCATTCCCTGTTGCAGACAAGAAGATGAAAAATGGGAAATTTAAGATTGATGTGTTGCTGAGAATGGTGTCATACATCATCTTGCATAATTTTCCTCGTTCTGTGTTCTGTCATAGTATAGAAGGGTTTACATTTCTCACTTTCGAATAGGCTTTCTACATTTTAGTGGAAGTGACTGTTCTTTTTTAGAGAAAGGTAATATAAACTTTACTTAGAAAGTACTGATCAATTGAAGTTGCATCAGCAAATGAACGATTTAAATAATACTGGCAAACTAAACATGTTATATTTATACATTACAAGCGTATCATTATTATTCTGAAATTTTAATACTCACTTCCATAGTGTCTTTTGAAAGGTAGACAACCCAGTATACCAGGTTGAATCCTGCAAATGCCACTGGAAAGAGGATCCTAGAATATTGGTCTATTTTACTTGTGCCTCCAACTGGTGGTGGTGCTGGGGGGGCTGGTGGAGGAGCAGACACAGGTTGACACTGGGATGCACTGTTTGATATTATGCTTGCTTCAGGAGACTGATCTGCATGAGATGTTACGGAGTTTACTCGCTTCTTCAGGTTACAATTGGAGTCAGAATGCTGAGGAGAAAAAAGATAGAGTTGATTTATGGCTTCAGAAATCTTAGGTTTTCTGCTTTTTACTCTTCTATCTCTTACTCATAGAGCAGAAGACAAATACTCATCCTAACAGTTAGGGGACTATTTTTATTTTATAGTAAAAAATTTTTGTGTATTTTGTGAAGTACTCATAGCAAAGTCCTATTATTCTTCAGAGAGTTGTATAACAGTTCTTAGAATTTACCTCTTAGTTGCTAGGCTGACATGTGTGTTTATTATGTACAGCTGTTTTATCTGGGGACCAACTTGCCATTTTTTCCTATGATCACAGAATCATAGAATGACCTGGGTTGAAAAGGACCTCAAAGATCACCTAGATTCAACCTCCCTGCCACACATAGGGTCACCAACCACCAGACCAGGCTGCCCAGAGCCACAGCCAGCCTGGCCTTGAATGTCTGCAGGGATTGGACATCCACAACCTCCTTGTGCAACCTGTTTCAGTGCTTCACCACCCTTTGAGTGAAAAAATTCCTCCTAATATCTAACCTAAATCTTCCCTGTTGCAGTTTAAAAGAGTTTTACAAGAGCTTAGAGGTCAGAGCTTTCTCCTTGTTAGTAACCATAAGACTTTACTGATGGCTGAGAAAATGCACAAGAATTCTTAAAGCATCATATTGTTTTTTATTGTTTTTGTATGAAGTACTCAGGTTTTCTGACGATAGGGAGCAGTATCAATTCCTTAGATTCTTACAAGCAGTGTAACATTTTGGTTGAGTTGATGTCCGAAGTTAAATCAATAAAAGATGGCAAAACTTATTCCCAGATTGCTGATGAATTATACTGTGTAACATAAATGGTTATTACTGGGTTTGAATAAGCAGTTCTGTTTGTCAGCAGAAGTATGTAAGTTGCTCCAAAAGTAATGCCCCCTATTTATTTCCATGGAAGCTGCAACAGACACAAAGAAGACAGTACTATTTGACAGAACACATTTTCAGCTACAGAAGACTATTTTTCAACACAGTCACCATTAGCAATGCATTTTTGCCAGCAATGAACACAAGCCTGAAAGCCACACTTGTAAAAATCAGCACCAGCGGAGATGGCCCACTGTTTCACAGCTTTGATGATGGCTTCATTCCTAGAATACTGTTGTCCATGCAGTCTTTCATTGTCTCAGATGGAAAATGAAAGGCACACTGAATCCAGGCTATATGCTGTATGTGTTGTACAACAGTCCAGCCAAGACTGACAATCTGCTCTACAGTCTTCAGACTGGGGCCTGGTATTATTATACTGCAAGAGAAATGTTGTCTTCTTCTCAGGCCTGACTGGAATTTCAAACCTTCAGCTTAGTCAGCATCATGATGTAGTGATCAGAGTTGATGCTTAACCCAGGTTCCAGAAAATCCGGGAAGGTTATCCGTTCTGAATATGGCTTTACCATGCATGTTACTTCATGAACTGAGGACTGTGTCCTGTACTTTTCTTCAATGAAGAATTCATGTGTTGCTACACCCCACACTGCCATTTTGACTCCAGTTCATAGAGGTGACATCGTGTTTAGTCACCAGTAATGATGTGATCCAGGTTCTGCTCCTTTGTGAACATTCATGGGACCAACCTGACACAAACTTCGCAATATTGCAAGGTTTCCACCATCGTTTCCAACATATTAGTCAATATTCAGCTCCATAAGAAGTTCTCTGGTTGTAATCTGTCAGTTTGCATAGATGAGGTGATTCAGACCCTCTTCATTTTGTGGTGTGACAGCTGTGCATGGCCATCTAGAACTTGGCTTATGTTTCATGTCACTGTTGCAACTGCTAATACGCACCATCCACCACTTCACTGAACTCATATTTGCTGTTTGGACTCCAAAAATATTTGGTAAGGGTCATTGGGTGCCATTTCTTCCACATGAGGGAATTCAATTCCACACCTTTGCTCCATATGCACTTCCGTGTCAGATGCCATTTTGTCAGACTGCCCTTCCATTGCCATCTGTCACACAGCAACAAAATGTAGTGGAATACTGGTAGGTGGGAGGGTTCAACATCTACTGTCATCCCATGAACATCTGCCTCTGATGTTGTGGTCTAACATAATAAAATAGGAGGTATTACTTTCAGAGCAGCCTTCATAGATGACTGAATGAAGTTGATGAGGAAAATTTTAGGCAGTGTAAATAATACACAGTACAACAGTGTGTAAGTAAATTTAAGCAGAATAGTAATGTTCAGGTGGTTCAAGATAGCACATCAAAGTCTGCAAAGTTAATTGTTTCTGAGTGATTTAATTACAGTCATTCACTGAAATTATTGTCAGCATTTTAGGGGTTGATCCTGTAGGATATCCTTGCAGGGAAACAGATTTTAGTCAAATAAATGATGGGGTTAGTAGAAGGAAAAGAAACATTTTCTGAAATAGACTGCCTACACATGTACTTGGGCAGAATATCTAGATAAAAGATGAGCATTATCAGATATTATCCTTTTAACAGTATTAGTGCCAGATTGTGAGAAGAAGTTAACACTGCTATAATGTAATGCTAAGTTCTCCTCAGGGATGGATGGACCAGTATCTGCAGAGATTAGGGAGGATGGATTCCTTACAGCTGAATTTAGTCTACATAAAAGGCAAAGAGAAAGATTTTTGTTTGTTTGTTTTGTTTGTTTTTTTTTGTTTTTTTTTTTTTAGGTATTTTTATATATACTTATATCTTTTAACTATTGCCTCTTTTTACTTGCTATAGCCTTCCCCCTTGCACTACAGATTAAAATGTCCTATTCTGGATTTGCACCTCTCTGGAATGCAGATATTTGTTTTTATATTTCCCAGTTATACAGCAAGTAACAGCTTTAAATGGAGGATGATCTACAGATGTGTCACAGAAACAGAAAGAGGGTTATCCATTTCCATTTGCGCTAATCATCATAATAATCCCACTCTATAAACAGGCTGACTGAGCTTGGGCCACTGCTTTTCAGTCAAGTTGCTGTTCCATTTTGCTTGTATGCCCTATGTTGAACTCAGCTGTGGGAGTTGTAAGGTAGCTTGTTTTTCGCTTTGCTGCAAGATAGCTTGACCTTCTATGGAGAAGGACTGATTTGTCAAAAGAGAACCATAGACCTTCTCATCTGCAATATTCTGAAATAAGAGGGTGAAATTCTGCTCTGGATCACTCAGGCATGAATCAGAAGTTACTGTGCTGATGTGATGGAGTTAAAATAGTTGGCAGAGCAGGAGTAGCACAGGGTCAGTGGATTATGTTGAATATTGAACATATTTTAGAATCCAGAAGTAGTAAAACCATTGTGATCCTTTGGATAGGCACTTGAAAAAGGGTAGCCCTGGTCATAATTCTATTTATTTATTAAATTTTATGTGCTTGATATGATTTCACTGGATGATTTCAGAGTAGATAGGAGGGAATATCTGAAGTCAGCTTATATCCTCAGAATTTGGGGAGAGCACTGACTGATTATATGCCTGCTTCAGTGCATTTTTATCAATTGAGTGATATTAATAACTTCTCACTAACTAACTAAAATAATTTATTTCATTATTCAGAAAGGATTTTTACTGTTTCAGTAATGCCACAGTTGTTTTCATTTATTCATTTATTTATTTTTGGCCATGCTCTTCAAGCGCTTCTATAAACTATTAAGAAGGTTCCTAAGTAATTTCTTACATAACATGATCCTGTGCAAGTCCAGAAAATAAGGGTCAAGACTATTTTCTTGTCTACCACAACCCAAGATACAGAAGCCTCAATTTATCTGAAAAGAGTAATTAACATGTTTCTCAATTTGGCAAGTGTCAGCAAACCAGTTACTGATGTAGAACAACCCATACTTTTCATGAGAATTTACTATTAAACCAAGAGGAAGAGGCAGCAGGAAGAGATCGCATCATTTCTTACAGCATTTGCCTTCTGAACAGCAGCTGCAACAATTTGTCTACTATTTTTAGATTTCCCTGTTCCGTTTGACAACAAATCCTACCTACAATGACATTGTGACAATTTGGAAAACACAAAATACAAAGAGCAGAAATGAGTGCTCTATTCCTGTTCCTGTTTTGCACACAGTCACTTAAATAGTGAAGACTGTTTTACAAACAGCATAAGCAAGAACAGGAAGCCTGAGACATGGCACACTGGATCATAATAAAAGAAAGCATTTTTATTCATTTATTGAAACTTGATACAGAGGAGTACTCTTGCACTTACACAGAATGCTAGCCCCATCAGGCAATTGAACTTGTCACTGAATATGACTGCCTAGTGACACAGTACAGCTTGCAAAATTGATGCTTAATGTGAGGTACCATAAAACTGGACAGAGATTGGTAGGCATACAATCTAGTAAGGTATTGTCCAGATTCTACTGAGGTTTTGCAACTCAGCTACCTGATGCCCTAAAAAACTCACAAAGTATTCGTGTCTGTAAAGATGTTGCTGATCTCTCACAGCTCTCATCAATATCACTAGAATTTGCTGGTGCTCAGAACATCTTAGGAGGCTCTAAGCAAATTGTTCTGCTTCTAGATATAAAAAATACAGTATATATAACTTTAAACTAAATGCATTTTTTTTCTCTTTTCTATAGATGCTAATTGTGGTGAATGCTCTAAAGATAGTTCTAAAATATATATATTTTTAATTCTCTACTGTCCTCTTTTGTTTATACTGCAGATGTCTATTCTTACTTTGAGTTTAGCATAGGATCTAGCAGTGGAATATCATACATATGTATGTGAATACTGACTATTTTAAACATATGTATGCCCTTACTTCTCTCTTTTCTGCACTTACATCCCTTTCTGCTGTGACTACCATGCACTAAGAAAGAGTTTTCATGGAATAAACTCTGAATGCTTAGAAAAAAAAGAACAACTCTCCTTTTCTTTGAAATTTATTGGATTAGGACTATTGAACTATTATATATATTGAACAAAACTATTTTGCTGGCATCACAATAGAAAAAAAAAAAAAAAAAGAAAAGAAACATAAA